AATGAGATTTAAAATTTTCCAGACTTCGAAGAGAAATAAACGCGGGAAAAACATCGTCAATACTCCCAAATTCATATTAAATTCAAAATTCTTCCAATTCGACTCGTAATTCCATATGTTAGATAGGCATAGAGATCTTCCTATCAAGCCACATAAATGCTCACGACCAGGGTCAACAGAGAGGAGGAGAACAGCCCACAAGGCTCTCGGCCAAGGCAAGGAACAGGGACAAAAGAGGCTCCAAACTAAAGCAGGGGACAACTGCCAAGACCTACAACCAAAGGCAGCCCAAAGCACAAGCAAGGTCCACGGCCACAACAACCCAAGACACAAACAAAGCCCACAGCCACAACAGTCCAAGACACACACAAGGCCCACAGCCACAACAGCCCACAGCCACAACAGCCCAAGGCACAGATAAAGCCCATAGCCACAACAGCCCACAGCCACAACAGCCCAAGGCACAGATAAAGCCCATAGCCACAACAGCCCACAGCCACAACAGCCCACTAGAACTGAACCAAGTTTCAGCAAGACCAAAACGAGCCCATACCAAGCCAAACCGAGCCCAGCAAGGCTAGACAAAAAATGAAAACAGCTCCTCACTAGATCTAAACCGAGCTCAGCAGGAAACAAAGCCAAAAATCGAGCCCAATCGAGAAACGGAGCCAAAGCCGAGCTCCCAACATGAAACAAAGCTACAGCCAGCCTCCCTCTGTAAATAAAACCAAAGCCAGCAAAGGTAAAATGAGCCAACACAGCTTGCCTTAGAACCCAACCAAGCCCAGCAAGGCTAAACATACTCAACCCAAGCCCAGCAGAGGTTAAACATACCCAACCCGAGCCCAGCAAAAGCCAAGCAAAGCCAAAACCGAACTCATGAAGGCATCAAAGCCAAATCCGTGGCTTCGAATCAGCCAAAATCAAAAATCAACAAGAAACAGTAAGCTAAAACCGAGCTCAACAAATACCAGAAGCCAAAACCGAGCTCGAACAGAAACAGTAAGCCAAAACTGAGCTCAACGAGATCAAAACAAGCCCAAGCATTGATATAACCTCATATTTTAGTAGCAATTAGAGTTCCAGCCACCTGTAGGCAAAAACCAAGTCGTCCAACCTGCATATCTAAATATTCCACGCATGAAACGGTTCCAACAAGTATTTGAACAGGGGTGATGCCACATGAGGAGCTAAATCAAACTCCCTATATTCGTGAGAAATAGAAGAAGCTCTTCAACATGCATTTTAAGCTAAAACAGGTGATAAAAAGCTAGAACCGAAACTCCAACATGCTTGCCAAAAGTGCTAGAACCATTTCAAAGATATATCTCAAGCTTCCTATAAGAGAACGACACCACAACTCCATCTCAGCCAAGTAAAAAAAAGAAAAAAGCATGCTATTTCATCCAACAGAGACAGGCTCAAAGCCTCGGCCAAGAGAAAAACCGCAAGGCAACATGACACCAGAAGAAAGGGGAAGAGAGGGGTACCTCGAGAGTGCTCAAGCAAAGCAGCACAGAAAACCTACTCAAAGAAAATGCTCTCCCAGAATTTCCTTTCCACTTTCCTCTAGCTAAACCTTCAACAACAACCAAAACAGCCAGCCATCTCCCTTATAGGCAGGGAACAGAGAAGAAGAGAAAAGAAAGCCACCCCCAAGTGTCCATCGTACTCGAATCGGGACCAAGAGCCAAAAAAGGAACTCTCCCGCCTACAAAAGACGAAGCCAACGGCGCTTCTCGGACCGAGCGGCCGAGAGCAGTGGCCAAGAGAGATGTATCGGGAAGAGGAGGAAAATGCCATTCAAGTGTACCAGGGAACAAGCTTCCCAGAGCCGCACTACAAAGAAGAGGAAAGCCACAGCGTATAAAGACTGGTCTCGCTTCGGGAAGGAAGACCGCGGGCAACAGTGCGTCAGGTAAGGACGAACGGGGTCAACCCTCCTCGCGCGGAGAAGGACAAGCTCGGTCGGCTCGAGAACGAGAAAGGGAGAGAGCTAGGCACGCGAGAGGAAGAGGGAAAGGAGAAGAGCGCGGGTGCGTGCGTTAGAGGGATTAGGGCCGAAAGAGGAAAGGGGGAAAACAGGTAAAAGGGTTAACATATATATAAATATATATATACATATAAATATATATATATATATACATATATATATATTAA